AACTCGGAAGCATACATGAGTTTACGGACGAGACTGGCGTATTTGCGCTCGAGCTGCTCGAGCTCTGAGAGCGTGCCTACCATGCTTTTAGATCTGGGGCTGAACACAGGGACCGAATTGTTAAATGGCACCACTGGTAATGCGCTCTCCTGGCTCCAATCAGTCGCACTTGGGCCTTTATACTGCTCGGCACGCATGATCTCGACCTCCATTGTATCAAACGTGTATCTATGAAAAATGTCTGCTGCTCGAGGTAGCATGTAATATGTGGCGATCCGATCACCAGGAAGCTCAGAAGCGTGTTTATCAGTTTTCCTCAACTGAACGATCTTCTTCGCTGTATCCGCGATTTGGTTGCGAACGACATCAATATCGTGAATCATCAGCATCACTTGCACCGCGTTGGCAACCATGAGGCTGCCCGTGGTCAAGAACGAAGGCTGGTATTGCATACAGAAGTTTACGAATAGAGCGTTGACCATGTCAGCATTGAAGACAACAGTGATCGCGATTCGTTGGCCACTAGCTGAATGACAAAGGTAGTAGAACAGTCCTCTGTAGAAGGTCTTCAGTATCGGTAGAACCATCGAAAATGCTGTTCTTGCAATATCGTCGTCTATCTTCTGAAATGCATAGTAGAAGATCGGGTAGCCTATGATGACGAGCCCATGGCAAACGCAAATCAAAATGGCGTCAGCAATCTTCCACAAGAGTTTCAAGTTCTGACGCACGTGCGGATACCAAACAATGGCCAACGCGAAGAACATGAGCGACACGTACGGCACAGCCATCATGTGGATCGTGTAAGGTACGGGGAATCCTATCCACCACGCATATAGCAGTTCGACACCCGTTGACAGAATGGCAACACTTACCGCGCTGGCGACGAGCTGTAACTTGGTAAGAGATAACAGTGGCATACGCTCGCTGATCATGTGCATTTGTAGTAAACACCACATCGTATAGGAGAGGAAGAAACGTCCGAAGAAGGTTTTGTTTTGTTCCATTCCGAGCGACGGTGGACCCAGGTTGACGAACTCGGGCAGGCAAATGTAGGCCAAACACGGTAGTGGTGTGAGAACAACGACGGCAATGATCCGCCACCAGGGAGTCGAGTTGGTATAGTCATGCAGGGCGAGGACGCGATCAGGGGAAT